TTTTTTTTTTTTTTTTTGGAGGTCTTAATCAGTAATATTTTATTTAATATTTCATTTATTCATATGTGTATATGTAAATGACTTGTATCAATTATAAGTGACTTCCAGAATTTGACAAAAAGTAAAATTTGGATGACATGCACTTAATTAGTGTGTGAGCTTCAAATCTTCTCAAGAATTAGTTCCAGAATTTTCTCTCCATTCAGATCCCATTTAATGCAAAATATTTTTTTTTTCTATTTGTTCATTCACAGCTTTAATTAATGTATTCATATCAAATTATTTTCACTATATCTTACCCCTTAACAGAAGACAATATAAAGTACTTAAGTGCCTAATGAATATACAAACAAGACTTTGCTACTTGTAATTACTTCATATGACTTAAGTTTTGCTTAGGCAAGCAGTTCACTACATTTTGGTGTTTTTGCATTTTGGAACCAACACCCTTACATGACAGGGTTTGCAAGAAAGGGTGTCATGCTGTTGTTTGGCATTTCATGCTCTTTTTTAATTATGTGTGTTTTTATTAAGTTGTTCCCTTTATTTTGTAGCAGTATTTGTGTGTGTCTGTTGCTATGACTGTAAGGAATGTGTGTGCTTCCCAAACTGTCCCAGTCAGTAATATTGTCCTAGAACAATATAATTAAATAATTGCAAATAAGCTTTAAACATGTCACTTTTGCACTGATGCAAACTGCAGGATGCTGTGTTACATATTGTGCACAAAATTACATACACCACAATTTATGTAAAGTGCTGTACATATTTATTTCCAATCAAATTATTTTGGTTGCAATGTTTATGTTTGCAATTTAAAAGTGTATTTCTTTTAAGTTTTGCATCAATCAACTTTTTGCAAAAACACAAAATTGCTCTGGGAAGCTATGCTAATTCCTGTAAATACTTTTTTCATTTTTAATTGTTTTCGATATTTGGTAAATGTAGTAACTTTAAAAATAAACTGTATTATGTGTTTGCTGTATTCGTAATGCATAAGTAATTTTACTTTGCATTTCTTGTAATATTTGTAGCATGTGACCCATCATAAGCTTCTAGCCCTTGGTGTTAATATGAAATACTGGCAAAGAATGAAACATGTTAAGTTTTAATTAAATTATTAATATTAATCTTTAAAAATTTTCAAATTTTCATTATTTTAACAACTGATTAAGAAAATATTGTTTTAAGCTTCATATGTATTCATTTGCATTTCATTCTTCTTAACATTAGCCTTGTCAATATTATGTTTTTATGCTCATTTGCTTCTGATGAAGCACATGTCTACTTGGAACATGTGGACTGATTCGGAAAACGTTATTCTTTTTCTTTCTCCTTTTTTTTCCTTTTCTGTTTCCTTTTCCTCCTAGAAGGAAGAGCACAATGCCGAAATATGACTCACCATATGCAAAAAAGCCAATGATGAAGAAGTATGCCACCAAAGGGCCTAATCGTAACCCAGAAGAAGCTGCTATGGAAAGTGTCAACAAGATTCTTACATTTGGCAGCATGCCGTCCTATAGGTAAGGACTAATAAGCAAGACTATGCAAGCCAAAAGGCAAATTCTAGGAGAGAGAGAAACAATATTCTATAATGTATACTTTCACAAAGATTACAATGGCCGAAAGACAAGTTAATTTTAAAATTAACTTTTCTCATTCTTGCAATAAGAGTTTGCATCAAACACATCATTTTCTTACAGCATATTATTCTACATACTGTGTATAAAATTTATTATTTATGATTAATAATGCAAATAGTGTGTTTTCAAAAATTATTAATGTCAAGGGATAATATGCAACAGAATCATCCAAGATAATGCTTCTGAGTGTAAAGACAATTTCTAAAGAGACCAATTAAATTATTTGTACTATGTTTAAATGTTATAAATTTTAAGACAGTGATTGCTATAATTAAAAAAGTAACCTAAGCATTTGATAAATTAAATATAATTATATACTCAAGAACAATTCTCAACAATATTTTTCATCTTGAGAAGGTGTGACATTACTCACAAATATTCTTAAAAATTCTCTTTTCCTAGATGACTCCTGAAATACTATTCCTTCACAGCACTTCAAAAACGTTTACTAATAAATTATGACCTTATCCTCATAAATCTACAAAAAAAATAGAATGTATGATAATTCCTTACTGGGATGAGTGAGTGAATGAATGGTTAGGTGTGTGTCTGCTTCTTTATAAATAATTTGCTATCCATAAGTTGATTATGTGTTTTGTTTTAAAGGTCCATTTTTGTGTAATTTTTTAATATTTTTGTAATCACTTTTGAAGATAACAGCTGTAATTCATGGCACTTCCTATAAATGTATGAAATTTATTTTTGATTAAATAGTAATATCAATTTTCTTTTTGAGGTAAAAGTAAATTGGCAATGCTTAAATATACATAAGACATTTTGAAAATTTTTATGTGAATCCTTGTATGTTATAACAGATTATGTTTGTTCTTCTTGTGTTCTTCTTCTTCTTCCTGTATCTTTCTTTTTGGTTAATAAACGTTTTGGTTAGATGGGATTCTTGGATGTACCAACTTTTAAACTTCATCTCCATCAATGTTTACATTTTAAAACTCTGGTGTGACACTGCTGACATATGGAGGTTGGATTTTCCTGTCCATCCAAAGACGTATAGAGGATCTACCTTAATTGTATTATTCATAATATCAGTCACAATTTTTATTACAAATCATTTTGCAGAATATCTCATATGTAATTCATTTTTAATTCCTTTTTCTAACTTTCAAGTATTAATTCAGTAAAAGTTTTGAATTATGTGGCTACATTTTTTTTAATAGAAATTACTCATTCAGATAATCTGTAATTTTTTTTATATGCTCTTTTAAAAATTAATTTGGAAGAATATCTATTAAAGTGCATGTTTGCTTATTTTAAGTAAAATATTGTGGATTTACAGTTACTTGTAAATCATTTATCAGAAGAAAGTGAATTTATCTTGTACCACCAACATATATTTGCTTCTCTTTTCTTTTTCTAAGCAGTACTTAAAATGGCTCTAATTTTTTCATACATCATTATAAAAGTATACACATTTTAATTTATAAGTAAGCTATTGCAATGATATTGTGCCTAGACATTGGCCGTTTATATTTTTCTCACTTGTGAGATACGTACATTCAAGAGAATGGAGGTACTGAAAACACATTTAAGGAATAAATGAAACAAAACTAAATGTAAAAAAATTAACATTTAATAATGTATATATTTGAGTAACTTAAATGTCTTTAATAATTTGATTGTTTCTTTTGAACCCATTGGTATAAATTCTTATAAGACAGTTACTCGCTGAAATGAAAATTGAACCTGGGTCAACTTTCTACTTTGTTATCTGTAAATATTTGGAAAATTTTTCCTAGAAAACAATTGCAATTATTAAAATATCTTAATCAAATATTGACATAAATATTAAATAAATAAGTTCAAAAATGTTTCCAGTATCTCCTATTTGTAGTGTGGACTGCAGCCCACTCCATATGCTTGGCTTGCACTTCCTTTTAGTTCTATTTTTGCATAAGCAGACTATCATGAAGAAATATCTAACTATATTTTAAAGATTCTTTGAATTCAAAATCTGTCTGGAACATTACATGCAATCCCATTCTTGTCATCAGAAAGCAAATATCTCATAGTCTGCTTATATTCATTCAATTTCTACTGATAAAAATAAGTATATAGAATGAGCCTTGAAGGCTTAAACAATTGGTTGACAGATTGTTGTTCTGTTTTATCAGTCGCGCAGATTCCCAGCGTGTGCTGTTCCGCCCGATGAACCATATGACAACAGGACTCGCCTCACGCTTCCAGCAGTTAGTTAATCCATTCACTGTTCTGCTCGCTTTTCCATTTCTTCTTTGCAATTCAATTTATGAACCTTTAGTGCCGCACACATGATAAAATTTTGATTTGCTTCAACTAATGGTAAACACTGAGAACACGCAGGTTTATGAAAGAAAACGTCAGTGGAATTAATTTTAAATATTGGTTATCTTTTCACATTCCTAATGAAAAAATCATAAATTGTATAGAAATATTTTTGAACATTATAAGTATTATTAGAAAAATATTAAATGTGTATCGTATAATTGGTACCTAATTTTTCAGTAGAATGTTCTGGTGTTTACCACTTCATAATGATACATGTTTCATATGTTCATGTAGATGTTTAATTGCATGGAAAAAAGGAAGTAATTTTATTTTTTAAATTCTATAGCTGCTTTTTTCTCATAATTCATGTGCCATTATTTTATTAAATGTCAACAACTTCTATGTTGTTCCCATATTTCACAATGCATATAAAAGTTGGTGTTAGGAATTTTACAATATAAGGAATAGTCAACATATTCATACTTCCTTTCTTGTGTATTTCCTTTGATTTTGAAATAGTTGTTGTTTTTGTTTTTTGTGGCAATATCTCAAAGCTCAAAAAATTAAATAAGTTGCCTTATTTGATAGTTTTATTATTGTATTGTGTTCAATGAACTTTCATTCACTAAATTCTGTTATGAGCTGTTTTTATGTCATTGAATTAGAAGCAGTTTCAAATAAATTATAGTGATCATGGAAATAGAAGAAAACCACTGAAAAGCTGTTTATTTTCTTACCAGGTTCATATTAATATAAAAAAAATTTCTATCTTAGAAAATTTGTGTAAGGTATACACAATGACAAATTAGAAATTTAATACATTTCAAGCATTTGTAAAGTGTAGTAGTTGGAGTCTGTTGTTTTGTTATAATATTTAAATATTTTTGTTTATTACTGTTTGCTTCAAATGAGTTCAATCGTATTCATTTGGAAAAATTTAGAATATTGAGAGATTGTGATAGATTATCCTATTTTTCAGAAATTCAGTAGTTGATTAATCTTGTTAAGCAAGAATGCATCCAAGTTTTAAAATTTGTGAAAAAGAAAAAGAAATTATTATTTTTGTTTTCAATGTTCAAGTTTGCTTTTGTTCTGCTGGTTGTATATTATGTAAGCATTAAAAAACTTAAATTTGTGGCCACATTTTTTTTATTATTAGAATTTTTAGTTTAATAACCAGAAGCAAAGTATATGCAAGCATTGGTGGACACACTGTTAACATGACACAGTGGTTATAATTGATACAATTTATTACAATTTACAATTAAAAATGTCACTAATGTATGAAAAGTTTGCTATTGTAGTTGTATGTAGTCTTTCCCTTCTGTCTTCTGCTTGCAATTTTCCATTTCATTTTTAACATATATCAACCATTTGATTGGATTACAATACAATAGAAATAGCAAATAAATGTTTCTTTCAATCCTGTGTGCTCCTGTGTATTTTGTGTTGTGCTCACAGGGAACACAAAATTCAACAAATGAAACGCATGGGATCAGGTAGTGAAGAGGATGCAACTCACTCAGGTATTTTGCTTTTCCCAAAATTAATTAATCACATCCATTGCTTGACTGTAAATCAATACATTTAAATCCAAATAACAAATGTACAAGATATCATTGGTAATTAGACTTCATTTTGAAATAAAATTTTGTAAAATATATTATTAATTAAATAGCTTTAAAGTTAATTCAGTAATGTAATATCAACTAAAATATATCAGAAACTTTATCAACTTTTTAAAATTTCATTTATTGTGTATTGATTACATATTTAGAACAGTAATGGAATCAGGCATTTTAATTTTTAAATGAAATATTTATTTTTGAAGTTAGTAAAGTTAAAATGTTGATTATAATAATTAAAATTTGTAATTCATTTGATAAATAATTAATATATAACATTTTATTCAAATTTTTAGAAAATATTAATGATTGAAAATTATTTTATTGCTAAATTATAGTAAATTAATGTTAAGATATTCTTTCCTTATAAGTTCTGATATATAGTAAGTAAAAATTAACTAAGCACAAAAGAAACAACCTAAATTTGGTAGTGTTATCCTAGAAATATTCAATCAAGTTTCATTTCCATTGCATTGATAAATAAGTGAATACCAGATATTTAATTCTATTAATGTTTTCTTATTTTACAGGGGATGAAACTGTGTCCTTCATTGATCTCCCTCCCAACAACCTCTCCAAATTACCAGAAAAGGGCATTTTAAAGAAATCAGGACCCTATGGCACTGTAATGGGTGATGTATGTAAAGAGAAGTGGTCTGAAGATTCACAGTCTGACAATCAAGAAATAATGTCTCAGTCAGACAATAATTTGGGTCCTGATATGATGGGTGGAGGAGGAGGAGCTATATCTGAAGTTGAGAGAACCTTGAAAAGCCTCAATGGTTATCATGAGGATATCCTTGAAGCACTGCGAACTGCGGCAAGCCATAGAGGAACTGCAACTCCCTCTGGAAGTAGTAGTTTACTCAGTGAAGAGATAATTCGAAAGTCTTTAGGTATGAATTAATTTCACATCAAAAACATTTTATGAGTTTAAAGAACTCTTAACATCAATTTTAGAATTTTTTGCACTTCAGTAGTATTCTTAAAACTTAAATAAGAAAAAAAACATCATTATAATAATTCTGTTTCTTAATATTACTGTAAATATTACTTGAAAATTGTGATAAATTACTAAATATAATAGAGATCAAAGAAAAAGTTATGTTGGTTTTTAAAAAAGATTTGCAATAACAATAAAAATTATTATTGATTGCTAATTTATTTATTTATTTCCAGCTGAGTGTAGTGGTGGCAGTGGCAGTGTCGGTAGCGGTGGGGGTGGCGGGGGGAGTGCGGGAGCGTATGGTGACTATAAACGTTCAGGCAGTCAAGAAAAAATTTGTGATGGTGTTCCTCAAACCCACACAGTAATGGTGGAAGGAGTTCACCACGTTCCGCACCACTCCCACCACACACACCACCCGGCTCAGCCACAGCCTCCTGATGAAGACGAGGAGGATGAAGTGCCTCCATCATGTGGACCTATTCGCATCAGGAACTTGGAAGATCTCATTCGCCAGTTGGAACACCATTCAGCTCGCCACATGAGCCCTAGTGGTTCGGAAGATATACGAATGTCTGAGACAGAGGCAGATCGGCATTATCGTCTTGAGTCCGCTACTTGCAGTGAGCCACAAACGTGAGTAACCCCTGTATGCATTTCATCTTTATTTTATGTAATGAAGTGTGTTTCTAAAGAACAAATGATAAAAAATAGAGAAAAATATATAAGTGTATTGTTAAAAATTGTTCAGTTAGCAGCAGAGGAATTTTGTTCATATAACAAAATAAATTTTACTAGATATAATTTTTAGAATAAAATGTGTTATTATATAAGTTTCTTTCTATTTAATGGTACAACATCTCAACACTAGGGTCAGTGTTCTTGTTATATTCTTTCATGGTCTACCACTTTCCCATCATTTGGTTACCAATGAAATATTAATTTCTTTTAAACTTAATATTACTTTATCATCAATTAGACAATTAATCCATGAAATCATTGCATTGTTTTTTTAGTAGTATTGTAGAGGAAACATAAATTAACAATATAAACAAATTTATAGGAATTTATGTAGAAATTTAACAGCTTCTCATTACAGTTACCTCTTAAGTGTTCTTCTTCAATATTTGTGAAGTGTTCAATTAAATTTTTGAAAATACTTTATTTGATTATTATTTCAAAGTCTTGTAATAGGACCAACAGATTTATCATTACACAATATTCAGTTATTCAAAACATTCTTATGCTAGCTGTACAAAACAGATAGATATATGAGCAGTATCATGTTTTGAGAGCTATGCATTTTAATTGTGCATTCAATGGCTAGGAGTGAATCCTATCGAAGGTAAGATGTTCTGACTGTAAATCCCTCTGATTTGTTAAGTTATTTTGTGTTGGATGTTACAACTATAAGTAAATATTGATAATACCCATGTGTATACACAGAATGGTAGTCTGGTCACAACCCCACCAATTCCACCTTTTTATGCAGGTCAAAAAGTTTCTGATGTATTACAGTTAAAAAAGTCAAATAAGTTTCTTTTTTTCAATTTAGCATACATGTCTATTACTTTAATTAAGAATTACATCTTCATCTTTTATTGTTTAAAACATTTCCCTTTTTGAAAATTTGTCATGCATGATTCTAGCTAGTTATTGAGGAATTTTTATTCTGGCACTATGTAGCATTGGACAATTTTCACCAGTTTTGGCTACAATTCTTATTGGAAATGTGCATTATATGTATTTATGAGTATGACATCAGTTCTGCACTGTTACTTTATTTCATTTCTTTAAGATATTAAGTTTATTTCTTTTAATAAAAATCAATACCCTAAAACATAGAATGAAACCAAACAAAAAACATCTTAATGTATAAATATAATGTAATGTCATCCTAATGTATCAGCAGTCAAAAATATATAAATGAATATTTGTTTTATATTGAGAGACTGTAATGTTCCAATTATCATCTATTGATAGCTGAACATCTTCCTGAAATGACATTCCACTAGAACGAAAATATGAAGGAGAAAAAATATTGATGCCCAAAAAAACATGAATTATATTTTACCTCTAATTAGGTATACAATTATTTATTTACATTAAATTTTCTTTTAACAAATGACCAAAAATTAAATAAATGATACCAGAAATAAAATAAAATTTGGAACAAGAATGCACTATTTCCATTAAATAAAAATGATGTTAGTCTTTACAAAAAAAGAAAATTATTTTGAGTCAGTAACAACAGCTATGATTAACTGTCAAAATGTAAAACTAAAAACTTTCTTATTTCTGCTGCTTGAAATTAAAGGTGGAATGACAAATACAGTTTGAGTATGGAAAGACACTTCTACACTAGGTTGGTACTTGGATAAGTGCATGTCAGTAGGCTGGCTAGAATTTAGAAACATTGTGTTTTGTTGATAAATCAAACACAATCTTGACCCTATGAGAAGAAAGATATTAACTAAAAGAAACTTAGTTTTAAGATACCTACTACTGATCCTAAATCCATGAGTAAATATATTCTAAAGGACACTTTCCTCTAAGCTAAACCTTACTCATCATTCTATCTTAGGGTCTCGTGATTGGTTAATAATGACATTTTCAAAACGTTATGCTTCTGTAGATTTAGGATAATACATACATCTTATTCCTTTTCAACATTGTTGAATTTTTCTCTACTAATCTCAAGAAAATAATAATCAATTATACAATGTCTGAGTTGTTAAACTTGAGAATTTATACATAAAATGTGCTGAAGAACAGAATATATTTTTCAAGTGATTATCCAACTGAAGATGAACTCGTTCCAAAATTCAAGTGACATTTTTTTATAATGGTAAAGATTGTAATATATCAAAATTTCTTAGTACTCCTTTCATTTTAAGATATGTATTGTAAGGTTTTTGATCAACAATTAATGTTCTAAAAAATTGTATCAAGAAGAAATACTCCTACAGACAATATTTTATTAAAAGTAAATTTATAATGGTAATACACATATATTTCTTTTCTTTTTCTGATGTACATACAAAATAAATTACTGAAATGAGAAATATAGAATTGAAAAGATGATTTTCATGCCAAAAATTATGTAAAAATACTCTTTATTCTCTTTTGAAATATTTTAAAAACTTTTACTCTAAATTGACAATCTGTACTTAGTGAAACAACATGGTTGCAAGAGACAATGTTAGTAAGTGCATTATGTTCCCCATCTCTATTTCTTTGGTAGTTGTTCTTGTTGCTGATGGGATTTTCAATCATTTTTTTATAAATAAAAGTATACTAATCACTGAGTCAATAATGCATTGCATAGAAGTTTGGAGAAGGCCAAGAAGCAATCTTTTTATAATTACAAAAGAAATTAGAAAGTTAGAAAATAAAAATTGGGAATTAAAAATTGAAATTCCTTATAATTATGATTTCTGTTAAGAAGCCATTCAAAAAATAAATTCACTTTTAGGTTTAGTGTCATACAACAGTGGTGCAAATTAATGAGAGAGAAGGGTGTTGATGAATCATGAATGTTCTTTTAATATTCTTGAAATAATTATGGTTTGATTAACATAAAAATTTAAATTAATGTTGAAAATAAACAAAAATGTGTTTTGATTTGAAATTTGAAAAATTATTTTAAAGTCTAAATGAAATTTTACACAGTATTTAATAAGTCAATTTCATTGATCTCCAGATATGGGAAGTGGAAGCAGTGGGTGGAAACAGAACATTCATCTCAAAGGTCTATTAGCTAGTATTAAAGTGGTTATAGATAGGGAATTTAAAAGAATCTTCATTTTCTTCTTCTTCATGCAAGTATTTTACAGCTCTTGTGTCTGTCTTGCATCCCAATCTCCATACCCCTCTATCATTCTAATCATACTCTTCTTGACCTCTTCTTTGCGTATCTTTAAAAACCTAATTCTCTCATTCCTCTCTAGGTTTACCTTCTCTCTAGGTATTTTCTTCTGTCTAATGGAAATCACTCACAAACTTTTCTGAGCCGTCTCTTACAGTCAAGCCTTTTCATGTGACCGAACCATTTCAGCCTTTGTGTTTCCAATTTACCTATAATTGATTTTTGAACCAGAATTTTCTTAATCAGTTCTGGTTCATTTTAGATACACCACAACTTCTTAAAAAATCCATTTGTAGACTCTTTGATTTTTCTCCTCCTCTTTTAGAATCTTAATTTTACAAGGGTATTTTTTGAGTGGCCACATCTCAATTCTCTAGTCCAGTTAACCTTTTCTTCAACTAAGCAACTCCAATTCCCAGTAAACAACTGTTTTAAAACCAGAGAATTGCTGAGGAGTTTGTAGAAAAGCAGTATTTAAATTCTCCATTCTCAATCACTGAACAAATAATTTTATTCATTAGCATTTATTTGAATCTCTATTCTTTTCTCATTCATTTTGTGAAAATCTTGCAACTTTTACATTCCTAAATTTCTCTCCTTTCCACTCTGAGTGTGAAATTCTCCAAAAGGAATTGTCATTAACATCTAGATATGCTTGTGGATGGTTTGATATTTATGAACTTTAATGATTTTGCAAATGTTCTTGAAGTTATAATTAATCAGAGTAACTTTCTCAATTTCGTTACATAATACCATACTTACTAAAAGAAAAATTGTGACCACCTCAAAAAGTACATTTTATTGTAACTATTGTTTCAAACAGACATCAAAGCTTATGAGATTGAAAGAATATGTTACACTTTTCTTTCACGAAAGCATTCATTTTCTGTTTCTGAACTTCTTAGTATTTTCTCTTCTGGAAGAATTCATATGACTTTCTGCTTGCTCACAAAGAAATAAGAAAGTGGAATAACGCGGGCAAGGAGTATATTTTGACTTAAGGAAAGATTAAAGTAATAATCACAAATGTAGTGGGTCTCCTTTTCTCTATTATTTTCAGCATGATAAACACATGGCAAAAAAGCTTTTAAAACAGAGTGAGAATATGAGAAATGATTTAAACATCATTCTCATGGAATGATATAAGGGTTTTCTCAAGTTATTATTTAGGACTTCAGTTTGCCTTTGACCCTTCTTTTTCAGTTAAGATATTTTCAAACAATGTTTTTGAAAGTTCATATGAAAACTTAATTTCTTTCTAGAGACAACATTAGTATGTGCTGTATATTAACTTCTAAGATTATTTGCAAATGATTTGAATTTAAAAGTCACATTCTTTTATTTCAAGTAAATATTGTTCTGTTATGATTCTTTTGATAGCAAATGAGGATTATCAGATTAAACTGTTGGTTCTGAAGATCAAAATGATATCTATATTTTTATAGAAGACCATGTGAGATTTGTATAGTTACTTCAATTTACCAAATATCTTACTTTCTTCGCAATCCTCCACAATGTTTTACAGTGTTTCTGATTCCAATGTTGTCCTGTTAACTATTTGCATTTCATTGACACATTTCAACATTTTCAATGGCAGAAAATAATAGCAATAATAGAAAATAATAGCAAGGAATAAAACAAGAAAAGCTCAGCCACTGAAGATTTTTATTGCCATTGGAATATTAAATAGCAGTATGAAACTATAACAATAATATTCTAAAATAAGTTTATTGAAAGTTGAATTTTTGTATACTTTGAGCATGCAAAATGTATCCCAAGCTCGTCACAGCTATTCAAACAATGATTCTCTTTTTTCTGTGATCCACTCATTGAAGCCAAATTAATGTAATGATAAAAGTTCAACATATTTTCTTTTTGAACAAATATTCATTTATGTATAGTTACATTTTTAAATGTTTTTCTTTTTCTTTTTTAATTTTTTGCTCATGATCTTTTTTTAGTGTTGTATAATTTATACACTCACATAAGTTTGATATTTCCTCTATTTTAATGCACTCTTTTTGTTCCTATTAAGATAGCAATTTTACTTTCTTGCATTTTGTCGATATAAAAATATTAATGTTATTAGGAAGTTTCAAACACCTGATCCTTTTCAACCTAACTCTTCTCAACCTGTTTTCATTAACTATGTTTTAAATTCCAATAAAATGAACCTCCCCTAAACTGATAACACAAAATAAGCAGTTATTTTTGCATTTATATCAAAAAACTAATTCTATGTAGAATAAATTAATTATGACAACCAATAATTCATACTAATTAATTATTCATAATTTCTGAAATTCTAAACTAAGAATAATTTGAGATACAAGTGTTATACACTTAACCAATAGTTCTGACAGACGCTTGATTAACTTTATGTCATTGCAGGAAACGCAAATTCTACCTGTGAAATGCAACCTAGCACGTTGTGATCATAGACTGAGGTAATAAGACAATCATTAACCAGGAGTATTGACTAGTTTATCTCATTCTATTACTTTGATTTATTTTAATTTCTTCTGTCTTCTTTTTTTGAATTTATAATTTAATATCTTTTATACCTGTTTCTGTTTTTCAATCTACATGTTGCATGCACCTTTCGTGAGCCTCCATATATAGCATACTTTTACTTTTTTGCATTATTTTTTTCAAATTATATAATATATTCGGTTTATTTTATTTTATTTTATTTTTCTTTGTAGCTTGGAATAATGCTCAATGCTCTTTTCATTGAAAAATTATTCAAAATTAATTTATTTATGTATTTCAGTGTGCTTCATTATTTAAATATTATGAATGTACTAATTCTGTTAGTTTTCTCTCATACTTCACAGTTTTTAATAAATAATTGCTTCATTTATGAACTATATTTTATAATTTTCTAAAATTAATTTGTTAATGTAATTATGAAAATTTTCAAGAAATAAGTTACAATTTTATGTGTGTATGTATGTATAAAATATTTTTAAAATGTAGTTATATCATTGAAAGCTCTGAGTAAACAACTTTGATGAAATTAAGACACCTTTTAAACTATTGTAATTGGAATGACTAAGCACGTTTTACACAATTTTTCAAAAGTAGAATATTTATGGTTGGTATAATCATATCTATTGTAGAATAGTTATTATTTTTGATGCTTCAAAGAGTCATTTCAAGAATACCACTCAAGGAAGACCTTTTTACTTTGCCTTTGTTATGCCACTATATCTGCTTTTTATCCGTTTGATTGTATTTTTTATTTTTATTTATTGGTTAACAAACTTCATTATATTTGAGATGAATTTGTGGAAGAAATGTATAATAAAAAAATGAAAATCGATGTATGTTATTGAGAATATTGGTGACATATACTTAAAATGTTGAGTATTTTCAAAATAGGATTAAAAATTATAAACAATCCCTAAAAAAATTATTACAAAATAAAAATAAAAAACATAAACAAAGACTTTAATACTGGAGAATTTAAGGAGAATCGATGGGTCCTTCACCATCCCTAAAATCCTTACCAATGATCATCAGACCACAGAAAAATCTACCTTTCCTTTTATGTTGTATGCATGTATATTGACTGCATGAATCTTGAATGAGCTTGTACATCAATGATTGCCAGTAGAAAGCTGCAACAAAATATTAGTTTGGCTGGAGAGCATGAAGGAATATTTTTCACAGATGAATATCTATTATTTGTGTCATTAAAGAAAAAATTTCTGTTTCAAGAATCATATGCCCAAGAGCAAGGTTTTTAAGACATGTTAATAGGAATTCATTGGTGCCAACTGATCTTGACCACCACATGAAACAGTTTCATACTGCTATGGATTGGCAGTGGAAGGTCTAATCATCACAACCTTAATCTGGTTGTCATGATTAGACCTTCCACTGCCATTTTTTTGTTGAAAATAGTTTTGTCTTTTAAATAATTTTTTGTGTTGATTTTTTTGATTTGTGAATTTTGCTTCACAAATAATTATCATCATATCTTTATTTTTCAATATTATGTACATTAATATTATTTACTTTCAAAAATATATATTTGTTTTTTCTCAAAAACTCAAAAAGAAAACATTTATTTTTAATGAAATCTGATTCATTTGTGAATACTGAAGTATTTCACTCACATAATTTCATAAAATGAATGTAAGAAAACTTAATATCAGACAAATCATCAGAGTATGATATTTTTTCATAAAACAATATATATTTGCAATTTTGAAAGAAAAAAGAAGGAACTTTACTTCGCTTTACTTCAAGATGCAAGTTAGACATCATCATATCTTGCACTACAATGACAAACCATTGTAAAATATGACATGACTGGCATTAAAATGCAAATAAATAGTGTAGTATATTATTGCTCAAAGAAATCAACTAATTTTTCACACAAAAGGTAATAAAAGTTTATTTTGTGAAGATTCCTACCTTTATCTACCTATCTTAAGTCTTAAGGATAAAATAAAAAGTGCTAGTGAGATCCTTTATCTAGTACAGTGACATTAATCAAAAAAGTATCAATAAAGTTATTATTAAAAATCCATATTAATCTTCAACAAAGTTCTGTTTTACTACTTCTTAATATTAATTTTAAGAGATACAACTCATTTCATTACCAATATAATCATTTGTGTATATGAAGTGTGTTAAAACAAAAAGATTTATTCATTTCTTCTCAGTCACTCTCTCACCCACTTCAGTCTTAAATTTGATGAAGAAAATGTAGTAATATTTGGAATTGTTACAAGATAAATTTTTAAGTTTAAAAAATAATTTATGTAATGGAGTTTTGAGGAAACATTTCTTCTCTGTATGCACTTTTCAACTATCCATTTTATATCTCATTGATAAATAAAATTAGTTTTGTCAGTCTGCTAACATTATTCTTTCCTTTGTGCCTTGCGATGTGTTATTTGATCTTGTTTGCTATGAACTGTTTGAAAATATTGTTTTAGTTTTATGCCCGGTTGATGATAATTATCATTGTGATCTTTTCATAGTGTAGTTTTCAAAAACCTTCATCATGAAAACTTCACTCATAAGGATTGTAATAATTTCTTTCAAATTCTTAAGTGCTGTGGAACTAGTATTTGTTTGTTAGTTTTTTTCAGAAATTTATTTTAGGAAAATTAATAATAATAGAATCTGCATGACAGTTTTAGTTAGTACCTCATTATAAGCATCTTAGAAAAAATTAAATGTGTGCATGCACATGTACAACAGATGTTAATAAAAACAACACTTTCTCAATGATTTACTTGATTGACTTGAACATATTGGTATAAATGTTTAATGTATTAAGAGCATGGGTAAAACATAAATAATATTCTCTTCAGGAATTTTATAATTGACTCATACATACTTACACTCTTCTTTTGAGTATGTGTACTTAGTTTAAGATAAATGGTTTTGTTTCTTAAAATGTATTTAAGATATTAGTTAATTTTAAGACATAAATCAGATTATTAATCATGTTCTTTGCAGACGGTGCAGAGGACGTGAGGAAGAACCAAGGTTTGTTTATGGACGATATCGACATCCTACTACCACTCGGCATCCACCCACATACCATCAACATCATATGCAGGAGGAAGAAAGCATCTATGAGACCGCTGATCATGATCGAAGTGGTGAACATCTTGTTGGCGACACACCAGATAGTGAAAGGTGAGCACCTAATCAGTTTCTGATTCAAAGAATTCATTTTCCAAATTTTTTTTTAAAAGGAATTATCATAATTGATTCTTGAAAGCAAATCATAAAATATTCACATATAGTATAATCTTTCCAATTTATCATAAATCAGTGATTTGATCAATATTATGGTTTTGGTAACTTTGACTATTACCAGTGGCAGATCCAAGAGAGGAAAGAAGGAAGGAAGGAAGCCTTCTCTGAAAGCCAACATTTTTTGTAATTTTGTAGAAAATTAACTATTGTAATTTTACTTAATTTATTCAAAAGAATTAAGAGGCATAGATCTCATCACATTCAAAGTACATTTTTTTTATTCCAAGACAACAATTTAAAAAATTATTATCACAATAATAGGGAGGTCTGAACCCCCACTCCCTGAAATTCTTTCTGGCTCTGCCACTGATGATTACTTTATCATTTACATGATAAATGAATGCCCTTCTGCTTACATTGTCATTGATGTTTTGTTGTCATTTGTGATGTTCATTTGATAAAAGTCGGAATTTTAAGAATTCACAGACACCTCACTTATAGTAATTATATTATTTTAGTTTTTTAATAACTAAAATTTTATTAAACTTGTATAAATTGCAGTGAGATTAACTTCAATTAGAAAACTGCAATAATATTATATATGTTTGTTTAATAAAATAATTATTTGAAATACTTTTATTGTATGTTTGTTTTTATTGTCACGTTTTCTTTCTGCCTTGATTTTGAAATAAATAAAAATAAATCTTGCTTCTTTCATCTGCACTTCTATAAGTTTATAAGTGGAACAGTGATGTGTCTGTAATGAGAAGCACCTTTTGTAAACACATGTTTTGAAGTAATTGCATAAATGTCAAAGAGCATTTTTTATTTCATGTAAGGACTTTTGCATTCTAGACAAGGCATCAAACAATTTGATACAACTTAGTTTTGTTAATAAAATATCTAAGTTAACTGTTTTGGTTTTTGCTAAAAAACCTTTTTATTCTGATTCCAGCTATAATTTTGTTCTTTAATTGTTATTAATTTCAAAATTAATGATAATGCTAAAGAACTTTGATAAATTGAATTTGTTGCCAATTACTTTCTTAACCAGAGCAGAAAGCTTGATTTTTTTTTAAAAAGAGAAAATTTAATTTTTTAAAGGAAGTTTAATAAAAATCCAATATTCTGTCATCAGCATTTTCAAAATACAGTAGACTCCAGTTATAGTGAACTCAGATATAGTGAACTTAAGTCACACTTGTATTACAAATAAGCAAAAGAAGATTCAGTGAACTCTGAAACTCACCTAAAGCATACATAAGAAACTAGGCAGCTTGGAAAAAATATTCTTGGCTTAAGGTCATAAATAAAGAGGTGGGTCCTCTGAGATGGAGGTAGCGGACCCACATAGATGCCCTTACTGACGACCCTGTTTTATTTAATTTTGGCTTATAATAAACCTCTGATATAGGAAACCAATAGGGTTCATCTCCTGAAGTTCACTATAACTGAATCGACTGTACCTCATGTCTCAAAATGTGACCCTAGTGTAAAAAATTGCGCAAAATTATGAATATCTTTTAAAACACAAAACAGGAGCTGATCGTTCCCCTCAGTTTCAATTTCCACTATATATTTAATGATAAAATAACAGTTTCGGTTTACTGTTTCTATTGAAACAAAAACCAAAACCAGTTAAGTCTTAAGTTTTATTTTTAGTTTGAGGCCTTGATTCTGAAACACTTAAGACTTCCAAAATCTTGTGGCAATAACCTTTAATAAAACAATACTGAACAGAAATATTATAATCTGATCTGAAATTGATAGTATTGATCTCTTAATAACTATTGTAGATATGTTTGCAAACTTCAATTTGCTAATGTAATGCAAATTTGTCTTTACATTTGACAAGTACTTGTTGATGCATGCTAAATAATACTTCATACCTCCAAAATAGCAGTTTTTAGAAGACCGCAAAACAATTGATTTATTCTTTTACATCGTTTAAATGTATACTATTTTAATTATTTAATATTTACATTCTTCAGTGCAAAAAGACTGATTAAACAATTTTTCATTTTACTTGCTTAAGAGTGAGTATTAATTTCAAGAAGTAAGCTCACTTGCAATAAAAATAATGTAATATGTTTTTGTAGCATCTATGTGCTCTTTGACTTTTTAATTTCAATTACTTTATTGAGACTTGAGCATTCATAACTTCTTAATTTGTAATCCCTTAGTTTAATATAACAAAATTTCAGTTAAAATACAGCACAGTGCCAAGTTTTGTAAGTCCTAAAATCCTAGATTTTCCATTTTGTCCTCATATTGAATATCATCCATTCAAATAATGATCACTATATATTACTTTAATAAGTTTGGATATTCTCCATTCTCTATCATTTCATATCATACTTTTCCTGAAATTTACAATTTTTCTGCATTGAAAGAAACAGATTTATTGTAATACAATAAATAGAAAATCATCTTCATTTTAAGTATCGGGTATCTACCTCTTTTCATCTCACGGAATTCTTCTCCGTCTCTTACTTGGCTTTCCTATATCTCTTCTTGTTCTTGACTTTCATTGTAAGGTAAACTTCACTAACTGGGAGCTATTGATTCTTTGAACATGAAGCATCTTGCTTCTACACTCCATCAGTTTTAAAATTGAGACCCCTCACTTTCACTTCTTTTTAAACATCATTATTCTTAAATCCATCTTCACTTTTCTATTTCCATTCTTCTTATGATCATCACTTCTGCATTTTGTAATTGTGTTAGTGAGCTTAGAAACCTAACTTCCATAGAGGATGTCCATTGTGTTATACAATTTAATTATCTCTTTTCTTAATTTATTTTGCAATGGCCTGTGGACTATACCACGTAATAAGTGATATTTTGATAGTTTATTTTTGATATCTTCCTTATTTCTACAAGAGCATGCTGAGAACCTTCCCTCCTTCTCTGGCATACAATGCAACTAATTTCCTACCATCCATAATACTCTTCTCACATCTGTTCTTGCTTCCTCATCTCCAGAAGCTAGTGTTTGGATTGAGCAGCTTAGAGTTCTCTGGTACTCTCTTCCCACGCTCTCTGGTACCGAAGTCATCTTCCCAAGTTTTCCCTTACCATACTTATCCATTTCCTTTAGGAAGAAGTTGACAGGATTCCAAGTCATAGTAAAGGCTGCCTGTCTGGGGGAAAATACTACTTAGGAAAATAAATCGTATCTCCCCCACACATTACACCTATTGTGCACATTACACCTATGCAGCCTTTGTAAGGCAGTCTTTGAGATTCTTCACAGAAACAATACAGTCACTTCAATTATATGACAGAATATCTAAGGGAAAAATAAATTACTCGGAATTGTGTAATATTACAGTAATTACAAATAGAAAATTTGGATTTCATCATTAGCATTAGTGTCTCTGGCATCCAAAATATAAAAGGTTCATCAAAGGAAGTGTGGAATCTTCCTGGAATTTTAGTTTAAGCCACAACATTTTAATTGATTTATTGAAGTTAACCCGATACATTCAGTGGTATTTGACAACATGTCAAGTAATGTTCAAGCTATTCATGAATGCAAAAATATACCCTGACAATAAATGTAGAATACCACAGCTGCCTTAGAGATGGAGGCAGCCTTGACAGATGATGGCAGAGCATGGCAGGGTCAAGCAATGAGCTTATTCATTAGGTATGAAAATGCAGGCTCATGAGGGATTCCTACATCTACCTGTCAAATCAAGATTATCTTTATATTTCCTTCCTTGAGCATTTTTTACTTTCTGACTGCTGAATGATTGCAAATCATTTATTAATCCACTACATCATCGTTTCACATTCTGTACATTAGAAACCAAAACAATCATCATTAAAATATGTTATAGTGAAAATGTCTTTAGTAAAAAATGAAATCAAAATAAAACTGCTGGTTGTTCTTGAAATCTGGGGGACATGACCCCAGCTGAATACACTCGTGGATATCATTCTGTGTTTAGTGATGGGAATCAGACAATATGAAAGTACTTATTTTTCCACAGATATTGTTTGCCAAAATTTTGAGATTCTAAAGAACTAATGCTTTTCAAAATGGTTGAAAAGTGTTTTAAAGACTGGGTTTTAATACACACTCTGTAATCCAAGAATCCACAAACACTTCAAAATCCAGGTATTTAAACCATTGACATATTTATAATAAGTTTCTGACATGTAGTAAACTGACAGTTAGTTTTAGTATACATATAATTTATGACACCCTTTAGCACAATAGATATCTTAGAAACAGTACCATCTTAAATAGAAACAACATATGTCTGATACAAGGAAGACAAAAACAATAAAGCTATATGAACAATAGAGAGAAAATCATGACAGAAATCTTAGAAATAATTGTATCAGTTGGGAGGTAGAATGGGCCAGAAGACTCAATCATTGATAATAATCAAGAGTTTCTGGGTAATGTTCAGATGCTGTGCGCTGTTTTGTCAAATTCTGAAAGCATTTCTCAATGTTTCAGCAACAAGGCTTAGAACATTGTCTTTTCATGTCACTTGAGAAAGCTTTTGTCAAACTGGCAGCAGTCTCACATTCATTTGGGCAACACATATATTAAAACGTAGACTTCCATAGCCAGAGTCAGTATCTACTTGGCTTAATGGAAGACTCTGTATCTGCTCGACAGCCAAGTTGATACTAACATATATATTACCCTGCCAGAAGCCAAAGGATTCCCTCTATTATTCTAATTTTCCCCACATTTCAAAACTTGCCTGTGTTGTTTTCAGTGGCTTAGCGTGACACGATCAGTCAGGTAGACATCAGAACCAAGATAAGAATTATTCTCAGTGGTAAACCAAAATATAAAATTTTAATTATTTCCTAGCTAAGACCATGAACACCATAAACATTTATCAATTGTCTTCAACATGTGTATTAATACAAATTTGAAAGTAATACAACTATACTTAGTGTTAATCTGAAACACTTCTGGATGAAAAAGACATTTCTACTCATTGTAGAGAAGTGAAGGACACCCTTAAGGAGTCTTACTCACATGAATTTTTGTTGTGATGCCTGGTTCCTTGAGTTTCTGTATAGAAAATAATAGAGATCTGTCAGTCCTGAGGCTCTAGATTTGTCATTACTGCTTTTAGCTTGAAAACACTCACAGTTCGAGACTAATATTTTCTTTATTTATTGAATTGACAGTTTCTACCTTGTCTACTTTCATGCTATGCCACTGATAATGAGTTCAAATTGAAAAAGAAAAAAAGTGTTAATGTTGTTTGTGTGCATGCGTAGCAAAGTCAGAAGTGTATTAAATGTTATTTCGTGAAAGCTTTCATTTCCTTAGCAAAATGTGTGTGCAGTGTGTAATACCACCTCCCTGCAAGACCAACACCGGTGTTCATTATCATCAGGCTCAGCACAGTTACGGAGCGCATCCTGTGACTTGTTAGCATGCTACTGTCTCCTAGCTTCCCAGAACTCTAATCTCAAGGCTGCATGCTACGATGTAAAACAACCCCCTGTTGTTGTTTGTTTATCATTATTATTTTCTAGTGATGAATTTATTCAAGCTCAACAACAGCTAGTCCGGTCTGCGAGTGAGGAGGCCCTGCCCGTCACCGCCAAGCTGGGCTCGTCCTACGAACGCGGCTTGAACGTGTCTGCCGGCCACCACTCTCGCCACATGCTCACCCACCCTCAGCCACCCACGGTGAGCCCAGCCAGTCTGCTGCGCCGCGCCGACAAGGGGCGTCACGGCCCGCAGGCTGGGCCGCGGATGCGCGTGCGCGGCGCGGCGAGGCGCCGGCGGCGCCGGGCCCGTGAAACGTGAAATACTACCCGTCGCCCCCTCCTCCGAAAGCCGAAGACGACTCCTCCACCGGTGTCAGTCCGCGACGGCCCCAGCCCACCGACGCCGGCGCGGAGCGCGCGAGGCGCGGCCGGCGTGGGGGCGCCCCCCGCGGAGCGGGCGGCGCGGGCGGCGTGGGCGGCGCGGGCGGCGACGGACCTCGTCGCTCGCTCAGCGAGGACTCGGCAGAGGAAGAAGACAACGACTCGTCTCGGGAGACCGCAGCTTCGTCGTCTGTATCGGGCACGGAACAGACAGCGCTCTTGCGGCCGAAACGCTACCCGGAATACAAGCACTGATCACGGAGAGTGTGTAGTGATGCCAATTCCTCCAATACCTTCGGTACCTCCTTAAACATCCCTTCTTCGCAGTTCGTCATTACTTAGAGCCTTCCTTCAGGTTTTTGGCACCTCGGAACTGTGTAATGATCACAATGTGTTGAAAGAACCTTTTACTCGTTGGCACAATGGAAAAATACAAACGTTTTGCTCTCCTAATCTGTCTAATAGAAACATATATTATCACTTGTTTATTTTAAAGTGATGTTGGTAGTATTACCATTACATATTGAGCATGTGACTGTGGTAAAAATAAAGACAGCATTTTTAAACATCATCTTCATTCCACCTATTTTATCATCGCCATACAGTTGTTATATATTCATAATATAGTCTGGAACTACTGTTTTTTTTTGTGCAAAGTTCTTATCTTGCACCAAAAGTATATGAAATTTATAAAATCAAAAATTATAACAATGTGAAATGAAAGTTCAGGGAAGGCAGCTATAAATAAAAATAGTCATAGAGACACGATTTTAAATTTAATATGATCATATTGTCGTTGCAGAGAGACAATTATCCTGAAACGTTACCTTTTCACAAAGCTTTATTTGAGTACAGTTTAAATTTTGATATTTGAAATGATCAGCACAGCACATTTGAGAAAATGAAGTGAATGATGCTTTGGGATTTGTGGGGCATCATGTTAGATGTTAGACCCAGTAGGTTACATAAAACATTTTAAAAGTGCATTTATAAATTGTCTCTATACCAGTTGGCAATTCTTGTGCTGAAGATTTTCAAGGGGTGTATTTTATAAAAGAATATAATTCAATTATTCCAGGGGCTGTTGTCAAGTATGCAATGCTACTTCAAGTAAACATGTACTCATTTAAAGTGACATGTAAGATAGTTGTTCAGACCCATACTGAACAAATAAGCTTTATTTCAATAGACATTTCTCTGTATAAGTTACTGAAGTTTTTTAAGTACATTCAAAGCTCATAAGCATGATATTAATGTTTTTAATTTTATTGTATTTTCTGCACTGTATCAGTGACTGAATTACTTGTCCACAATATGCCTTTATATTTCATTTGAACTTCTCGTATTCAGTATTATATTGTATAAATTAATTAGTGAGTAATTGTTAAGAAAATGAAAGATGACATCAATAATTTTATTATAGAATATTACTGAAACAGATACAAAGTGTTATTAATATTAGAAATAACAAAGTTACACGAATTTAAGAAACAATGCAATCTGTTTACATGGTAACTGTTGATTATCATTGATGATGTTGGCAATGTGGATATGTATATGAACTTTACAGATTAACCCTAGCACTTCCCTTATCCTCCTACTTTCCTAATCTTCTGAACATGACTCAACTGGAAAGCAAACCAATTCAGGAAATGAAAATTAAGTGAATTTGAACAAGAGTCAGTGCAGTGGGAAAATAGAGGAGGACAGAAATAAGAAGATGTGGAAGTAATAGCAGTGAAAATAAAAAATAACAGTGTCCTTTTCCTGTTTTGGTGTAATGGATGTGTGAACATGAAGTGATTACAAAAATAATTGTCTTGTCTTATCGCATTTAGTAGTTTCTAAACAAACTGAGAATTCACTTTAATTTCTATGCCAATTTAAAAAATCTTGTAAATCACCCATTTTAAATAGTGAGATTACACTGATGAAATACTTTATTTATTCTGTGGCCAAGAGTATTTTATAATTTACAGTACTTTGGTAAAGTAATATCTATTTATATTATTATTTATTATAACATAATATTGCTACATGCACTCTTCAGCACATACTTAACATGTCAGAGAAATCACTTTCATGACAAATAATAGTAAACAACATACTCAACTTTCTATCATTCACTATTTTTTTTTAGTTCAAATTTAACCGTCTTCTCTCTAAAATCCAAAAAGATGTTTTCCTAAACACATGCCCTTCAAACCCCAATGTCTGTTAATAAATTCTATTAAATAAACATAAAATTAAGAAATAAAAACATTTATCAACAATAGTTTTCTTCAAGTTTTGGTGTGATCCAAAATTAGAGAATGAAGAATAGTGTTTTATTTTTATTTTTTTTCAGCTGAGGCCTAAAATTTAATAATGAACAGACTAGAGGACAGAGCAAAGATTGTGCCAACTTGTTTGTTTCTCATATAATTTTTTAAAGAATATAAATAATAAAATGATTTAAACATGAAGAGATAGGCATCTTGTGAATGCCAAAAACTATTAAAAATAAAAGCTGTTATCAGATTGTTTGTTGATCAACGTCTGATGTTCCCAAAATTGGGTGTTTATATTCAAGATGGTTGATTATAAAATAAAATGTGGACTTCGTACACTTGCTCAGTTAGTGTATACAATTGTAGAAGTTGTGTATGTTTTGTGTGTGTGTGTATTTGAGAAAACAATGGACAGTGTGTATTATAAGGCAATTAATTTGAAAACTAATAAAATAAAAAAACAAACTAAATTGATACATAATAGACTCAACATTAAGAATACATTCTTTTATTGTGAATTACTATAATTATTATAAAAATTGATCAGTGGTTTTTAGGTAGCTAAACCTTAACATGAGTTTAGTAGGATGAAAGAAAGTATAGGTTTCTTTGCATTAGAAGAAATAAACAGTTAAAAATAAAGGTCGTGACTACATTGAGATGCAAAATATTCAATCTCTTTTAGTGAATTATAAACAGCAGATTCTTTGACATCTGCTTTCAAGACCAGAGCTTTGAACTTCTTTATCAATTCCAGTGGGCTTGCGGTACTAGTGGTGTGTCTTGAAAAACAATTTGGTGGGTTTTTACAATTGTAACATTTTAACATTAAGATAATGCCATTACATTAAATAAGACAATTTTTACTTTAAATTCAATAATCAAAATAATGAAACTAAAGCAGTGAAATAATTTATTGTTCAACAAGTCACACTGTTATACCCAAAGAAACAATATCTGTAATTCTGTAATATTTCTTCTTCAAATTCATTCTGCCTTCCACCTCCTCAATTGCTCTGTAGATCTGGTTGTTTAAAAGATATTCTATAGCTGTTCATTCTTTTAATTTCCTTTAAACATCATTGTGCCAAAATCTATTAGATAAAATGGTAATAAGCTATACCTGTAAAAAGTTTATTGTTCTTCTTTGGATTTTATTTTGCTACAGGTTTTAAACTACTAACTTCAACTCTAATGGAGCTGCAAGTACATTGAAAAACCTGGTTGGTGTGCAGATACTTATAAATATTTTTGATTTTATAATCACTAGTAAATTTTATAAACTAATTTTATTACTGAATAATTTACATATTAATGCTGTGAAATCATGCTTTGGAAATGAAGTAATCTGCTCGACAAACTTACAGTAAAAACTCTGGAAAATAAAATTGAGGCTTTTCAACAATTAATTGCATTTTATTTATACTCTTCAAACTATTTCCAAAATAATAGTAACATCAAAAAACAGTTTTAATAAGACTTGAATTAAACTGTAATATGTGTATAGATGGCTAATTTTTTGTTACGTAGAGAATATTTAGGTTCCAAAGGTGGATGTTTCATTATTTTATACTCAAGGAATGGGTCTTAAATACATACATTTATATGTTTTGTGATCATTTTTAATTACCTATTTTTAAATTTAATAAATAATTAGTTACATATCTGTTTGTGACAAAAGAGCGTTTAACTGGTGTTTCAGAATTGAGATTTTTGCATTGATTATTGTAAATATTCTTAAATCAATTAATTGCATTACTCATCATCTTGCTATTATTAGAAGAAATGGAAGTTTTCTTAATGCGATTTCTGATATATTTGTTTATTCAATTGATTAATAAATTTAAAATAAAAAGGATTATTTGGAAAAGAGAAATGTATGAAATACCCAAGATTTTATTGTGCAGAGCTTTTACTGTTAGTTTTCATTCTTTTTTTCTTATTCTTTTTCCTTTTTGTGAAACAAAAATGACTAATCACAATTATCATCAATGATGCCCACATTCAAAATGAAATGTAAATAATTAAAAATGGATATAATCGTGGATTCTTTTACTTTTTTGTTATTGTTTTCATTTTTCTAAATTCATTTTTAATTTGTGTGTTCTTGACTGTTTATAGCTCCGATTTACAGCTACTAAGCAAATGAATTAGAATATTCTTGAAAATTAGACTGTGTTGTTACCGTGGTTGTATTCGTCAGACATACAGAATACTTAGGTTGATGAAGTTTGTATTTATTTAATAAATAAAGTGTTGGAAAAAATTTGATGTATGGCATTCTAAATATACTCTACAAAATGCACTTCTTGCAAATTTGACTACTGTCCATTTTCTTACGTCTAGAGAAGGCAAAATGATGTGCATTATTCCTATGAACTTTTATATTCTATTCAAAAATACAATATTGTAGGGGCACAGGTGAATATACCCTCTGTCAATCTAAATACATGACCTAATTAATTTGGCAAAATAGCATGCATTTCATAGATATAATGAAATCCAAATTTGTTGTGCCAGTTAACTTCATTTATTGCCTTGGATTATCTATAAATTATTTCAAATTTCAATTAAACAATGTTGATAAGGGCACTATTAGTGTTTATCATGTGTATTTCAATCTTGAAATGCTTCTAAAGAAAATAGTAATGTCTGTAGATACGAGGGATGTAGCAAAAATATTCACCTTGTGAACAATGCTCAACTGCAGATTTCCCATGCATTTTTAAACCAACTTTTGTTTTATATATGAATTTTCTTAGCTTCTACACCCACATTTCAATTGTTTGTTGTTCAGACAATTGTGTAACACCAAAAGGATCAGCTTAATTTGAGCATCAATCTTGAAATATTTCATCAATTGAAAAAAGATGCTGACACAAGAAATACACTCACAGATATTGGTTTGTATCTGATTGAGAATGAAATTTTATAATATAAGAGTGATATTGCTTGTGATAAAAGCAAAACACTCAAACAAAAAGA